GGGTTCCTTGTGTCGAAACTATTCATTATCGGTCAAGACGGCTTCCATGTTCCAGTCATAACTTTCGATTTACTATCCATTGAAATTTAGTTGGAACAAATACATGGTCGTTCAGGATTCAGGATTCAGGATTGAATTTTCAGATTCATATGTTGCTTGGTTTGCCAAAAACGTCTGATTAACGGTCATCGTGAAAAACTCTGTACAGTTCAATGAATGAGATGTTGCTCCTTCTTGGGATAATAACACTATGCGTCCATCACAATAATACACTCACCAGCAAAAAAACCGGCCACCAAATAATTTAGCCAAATTGTTTGACCTGGTAACGTTGTCAATTCTGGTCCGATGTTTCCAAATGTTAGCCTGAATATTAGTTCCTAAGAAAATCTGATGACTCGATCATCATACAGGGCAAAACGAAAGTTACTTTCTCACCCTTAACTTCTTAACGTCCTGTGGGAAAGGTGAGTGGTTTAACTCAGCTTCATTATGTTTTAGATTAAAGAGTGATCTCTTCTCTACATGATGGTTTTTTATTCACGTCGATAACCACTTTTTAAAGGAAGATACAAGTGTTTCAAGAGAGTATAGATTTTTAAAATTTTCATTTACAATAATTCAGAACCATTCTCCAACCTTCTGCTCCATTATCTTTCAAATTGAAGTGTGATCCTCTTCCTTCTTCATACAACGGTTCTTGAATAACTTCAATATCTCCTTTCTGAGAGAAGTGTTTCAAGAAAGTATAGATTATTTTAAATTTTATAACAATAATTTGCCTTGTCAGATACATTTCAAGAGCTACGATTCGCCCTTCGAGGATATCGAGGAGAGCATACTAGTTATTGACTACAGGTCTGCTTCTTGTTTGTTTTTTGTAATTGATTTTCTAGTAAGTGCTAAGAACGGGAGGTAGAAATATGTGATATTAATCCTTGGAGTTGTTAACTAATGAATTCACGTAAGTTCTGATTATTGGTAGAAAAAGTTGAAAAACGCCATACTTCCTCACAACACTCGTATCTTCTCTTAAAAATAAGATATTGATGTGAATCAAAAACTTTTGTATTAAGTAGGGATCACACTTCAATCCGAAGCATAATGAATAAGCCATGTTAAATCACGCAATTTTTTGGCCACAGAGCGTAGAGACGTATTGGGTGAAAGAGTAACTTTGGTTTTTCCCTGTATAATGATCAAGTCATCAGCTTTTCAGTAAAACTAATATTTAGGCTAACATTCCGGAACATGAATCTACGATTTGATCAAAACTTCACAAAAATGGGACAAGGATTTAACGAACTACAGGCTGGACAATTTGGAGAGATTTTTTGGTGGCCGGTTCATTTTGCCGGTGAGTGTATTTGATCTAGTCAATTTATTTCTGCCGAACAACATATCCTATTCGTCAAACTATTTTCTACAATCTATACCCCAAGGATAATCACAAACTCCTTATATACATTGAATAAACACATTATTCGTTGCCATCAACCATCAAACAGAACTACATCTCCTCTCAGTTTCCCACAGCCCTAAAAATTTGTCACCGGTTTCCTGACAGGACCCCCAGCGTGCTAACTACAAGGTAAATACGTCACGTGCCTCCCTCTTAGCGGGATACACACAGACTACATACTAAAGGGGCTCTCGCTCCAAATGGGAGCGTGCAGACCCCAGTGAAACCCAATATCATTGGCCAAATTAAAAATGCGTTTTCTAACGAGCGAGGTCACTCCAGGATACTTCAGTGTGATATCCATGTTGAAGGAGTGAATAGAAATATTTAGAGGATGTTTTGAGTTCAACTTCATCAGCGTGGTATCGAGCATTAGTTTCACCTTGTTTCACCAGCGTTGTTTGTGTTTATTATTTAGATTTTGAATCATCATTTGAGAGCCTCAATGATATCTTAAATGACATATTCCATGTCAAATCTTGAGAAGGGGTGTAAAATCTATAGGGCGCTAATCCGACCTGTCCTGGAATACTGTTCCCATATTTGGAGTGCAGCACCCAAACATACCCTGAAACTGTTGGATTCTGTTCAAAAAAGGGCAATTCGTCTCGTGGGTGATGCCCCGCTCACAAACTCACTCACTCCTCTGGAACACCGTAAAAAAGTTGACGATCTGGCTCTATTCTATAGATATTTTCATGGACGATGCTCTTCTGGAATATCAACAATAATTGTTCCTCCCTTGGAAGTCCCGGCGAGATTAACCCGTCTAGTTGGGGCTTCGCACCCCTTCGTGGTCACTTTGGAGATCTGCAGAACATCTCCTTTCAAAGACTCGTTTATCCAACGAACAACAAGGCTCTGGAACACATTGCCAAAGGAGGTGTTCCCCGAGGCATATAACCTCCAGAAATGCAAGAAGAACACCAATTCCTACCTTATTTCCTTTGGTTCTCATGATGTTCTCTGGACATTATAGGATATCCCTTTTCGTGGGAACCAGAACATAAAAAAAAACTATGTTCCACTATTCCATTCTACGTTGAATTCTATATTTAGGAGCCTGAAGAACAAATTTCAATGGTATGTTACCAGTGACTTGCTGAAAATCTACAATCGATGATTATCGACGGTTTTACAAGTGCCGTGAAATTATCTTCAGGTTGATTTCAATGACATTTTCTCATCAAATCATCTAAGAGGAGTCGTGAATTGGATTCCCACTGAACATGTACCTAATAGTGTTGATTCCTTCCAAAGTATGTAGTTCATGTTTTTGTAAATGAGTAACTATGTGGTGTGCATACTCTTGATTTATTATTTGGTTGTATCAGAATTTTTCATCAGGTTCAGCTGATTCTAGTTATGGAGTTCATCATTGTAGAAACCTCATGAAAGATAATGGAAGACAAATTTATGTATTATTTGAATGAGCAAATTTAATGTTTAAAACCAGAATTTTCATGTTCTCCATGTGGATAATCAATGACTCAAAAAGATACTGTGTGTGAGAAATTCACCATGCAAACTGTATCGAATTATTCGACGTACTATTATTCATGAAGCATATCTTTTTTTATAGTCGATAACTGCTGAAAAACAGCGATGAAACACGGTACGTTCGTCTAAAATACTGCAATTTCCAAGTCGATTATGGTTACTTGATTGTAGACTTCGACGAATAACTATAATTTGCTCTGGTCTCGATCGTTTTTGTTATTTCGTTAATTTCATAAGCACACAATTATTGCTTTTTGTGATCATTGAAGGGTATTGGAGAAGATATATAATTTCAGGAGGATTCCGTTGAAGTTCCAGGTATTTCCATATCACAAGAAACAATCTATATAGACGTTTGAATATTCATACAACTATTAGATTGAGTATTTTGAAGAAACTTGACATTATATAAATAATATTTCGTTCTGGTAGTCATCTGATTTAGATATGAGAAATAATCTTCTTCTTTGTACAGTCGTATTCAATAAAAAAGCGTACAAGTATTAAACATAGAAGATTTCGGCATTCTAGTTCTAGTTGTGTAAAATTGGCTCAGCCAATGCTCTGTGTTTTTGAGAACCTATGATTACTCTACTGTCAACATTTGGTAAACATTCATTCCCGATAGCCCGTTTCACGCAAATAGGATGACGTTTATTTCTCCCTCCAATTTACTTGTACACTTTTTTTTAATATGTAGGTGTAAGTAATGCCACTTGATCTCCACCACTCCACCAAGTGTGATTTCTGATCATTTGTGAAATGTTCTTTGAAGTTACTGAATCGTATTGAATATAAAGTTCGTCCAAATTGTAGAGGTATATTTTTTATAGAGCAGTCATAACTGAAATTATCAAAAATTACATCATTCATTGAACTATAACTAAATAAAAAAATGGAACTGAAATCGGATGTCTGATGATGATAGTACAAGTACAACAAATAACCAACCAAAATACATCATCAAATATATTATGGAAAATATTGTGATTATGTTTCATTGTCGTTAAATTCATTATATCTTTATACAGGGTGGTCCGGTTTGCAATATAAAAACTTCAACAGTGTGTTGTAATCGTTGAAATGATAAAAAAGTTCATAATATTAACATATACTTCTGAATGCGTCGTATTCGAGATATAGGGAGTTGAAAATACGAGTCTGAATATTGTTTTTTGATGAGAAGTTCGAAACGCTTTGGGATACATCAACAAAATTTTTCACAGATATTTTAAAATTTTACGCTCTATAGAATGAAATGAAAATTATTTCATAAATTGAGTCGGTGGCGGCTGATTCTAAGGGTGTCGAAGAAAAATATCACCTGAATTTTCAAATGTGCATTCAATTTTTCATTTTCGAGTACAAATTGTTAAAACAGATAGATTGCAGCGTATGATAGTTCTGTTTTCAATGCGTTACAATGTTTTAGAATTGAACCTAACTAACGATGTGAGAAATCTATAAGCTAATAAAAAATAATAACTGGACAAACACAATGAAACTTTATTTTACCATCACCACCCCCAGATTCAGCTAACACTGAATTACTTTATGGAATAATTTTTAATTCATCTTATAGAGCGCAAAAAGTTCAGTATTTGAGAAAAAATTTGTTGATTTATCTCAAACTGTTTCGTACTTTTCATCAAAAGTCAATATTCAAATTCGCATTTTCAACACACTATATATATTTCGAAAACGACGCGTTTGAATAAAGTATATGTTTGTATACATTTTTTTCATTATTTCAACGAGTACAACACACTGCTGAATTTTTTGTATTACAAACCGGACGACCCTGCATATCGCAGTCATTGAGACAGATCAATCTCCTGATTCTTCAGCAAAGAAATAGGGATATGCCTTTCATATAAAAGTTATATGAGAAAACTTCGAACCTGATTATTAACAAATGCATCAAACATTTGAATAATAGGAATGCGAAATGAAACAGAGATAAAGATAAAATAATGATGATATATTCATGACCTTAGTTGGTTGGGAATTTGATTGGTGAAACCCTTTTCGTATGTCTTTATTCCAAGGTCTTCATGTCCGTTTCTGGCAATGGATACATCAGAAGAGTCCAAACTGGAATGAGAAAAACGAATTCAATGATGAGATAATGTAACATGTAACTTGAGGGCGCAATCATAGATTTTGAATCCTTCAATAAATTTAATTTGTGGGATAAGCGTAAGGTATCAGCAGAAAAGCTGTAATTCGGAAAATTTTAGAGATAAATCAATGAATAAAGAAACAAAATGCTCGCAAAAGAAGCCTTCTTCGTATAGGATGCAAGCACTTTGTATACCATTACTCAATTACCACACAGGGTGAGTCAAAAATTAAGAATAAATCATGGTTCGAGTTATTTCACCACCATCAAGGGGGCTTTGAAAAAATTGTCACCTCTTTATTTTTTTAAGACAAATGCATTACCTACCAACAAATGAAAAAAAACGGCCCACTATTTATTTTTTTTTTTTTTAAGAAGATGGGTCAAATATCAAGTGCGTCACTTTTCTTGGAGTGTATAATTGAAAAAGTGATATTTGCATGAAAACGCGAAAACAGCGAGGAAAAAATGAAGACCAATAGTAGAACCAGTGGAAGAGTTATGAGAATGAGGAAATCAAACGCTCAAGGAAGAAGGAAGTGATGGACGAAGGAAAATGTAATAACAAAAATGCATTGGAATAATGTTGAGATGAAAACCGTCTGGAAGAAGAGAATGGTTGAGGAAAGGAGAACATGGAGAGGCGAAAGGACACAAAAATATGGTAGGTAAAGAAGTTGATTTGAAACACCAGGAAATTTCATAAAGCGATGAAAATCGTGGAAATGAGAAGAAACTGTAATAGATAGATAGATAGATAGATTTATTGTATAAAAAGAATTAAAATAATTCTTATTACAAGGGTTGGGTAATCTGTAATGGATGAATAGATCAGAACAAATAGCTAAAACGAAAACGAAAATCCTTCCTGCGTGACCTTGATCAAATCTACCAATCAAGACATCGAAATAATAATTGATATGCAAATTACTCATTCACACCAAAATATCTGAGCTTCAACAAATTGATCAGAACTTGTACTAGTATAGTTTCAAGTCAGCTAGGCCACCATAATTCAGAAGATATATTGAAACATCTAGCTAGAGATTCAATGTCTTGAAATAATCGACAGTTCTTGATACCAGCATAAACTGGACAATCAAAGAGAATGTGTTCCAAAGATTCCGGTCTGTGGAGATTGCAAACAGAAACTGTAATGCTGATTTGTATGTTGTCGATTCACTGGCGCTTCAGAAGGATACCTGAGTTTTTTATCTCCTGGAGCGCACGAATGGGAATCCCAATAATGTTCGAAGAACATAGGAAGGATAAGGAGAGGAGGTAGGTATTGATAAAATTTTCATGATTTTATTCCATCTAACAAGCAATTACATTGCTGTTTTCGATAAAAAAATGAAGACCTGAGATGAATCTAAATTGTACTGAAGGTTCATTCAAGACATCCATTGAGATCACTCGAGATAAGTATAATTTAGATATTTTGAGAATTTGTCACGGAGCATACCGAACTTTGGCATTATGGTCGGTAATACAGGGTGATAATGAACATAGGCAGATAATATTTCAAATGTCGACAGCCTGTATATCGAGGACACTCCATAACATAAAATAAGTTTTGATTATATCTCTCATTTTTGAGAGCAGTGTCGTCTTGCAGAGTATCCTGATTGGAGTCTGAAACACTCTGCATAATATTATTACCTATCATAGCAATCCCGATGAATATAAGTGGTCCAGCACATCCATATTGCAAGAACAGCGGGAAAATAAAACATCCAATTGCTCCTCCGAGACGACCAAATGTTATCACCAAAGAAACTGCCATTGCCCTATGATAACAAAAACAAGATTTTTTGAAAATAGTCCTGAGTTTCATAGTTGAACTCACCTTAAATTTGTAGGGAACAAATCAGCAACCATGCCAATCACAGCATTGCATCCGATATTTCCGAAAGCAATAATTACTGAAGTTAGTAGAACAGCTAAAACAATGTCTTCTGACAATGCCAAGACTAAAGTTGACAATGCTGATCCAGATCCAAGAATCACTAGGAAATACAAAATGTTGTACATTCAATCACTTTCTTTGCTGTGACACATAAAGCAAGCAAGAGAATATTTAGAAGTAATTTCAACTGTGGAAGCATTTTAATCATCATACCTATACATTCCAGGTAAGAATATATTATTTCAAAAAATTTCTTTCGGACTGGAAAAGTTGAAAAACACACGACACGATGTAAGACAAAAATAAAACTGAAAATTGTTTATATCCAGAAGATAGAAAACTTCACAGAAAGTACCTCGGCGATGAAACTAATTTTTATTTAATCTGGGAAAACAATGATCTGACTGTCTGGTATTGTCAATTTTCCAGCATTATACTATACTATATCGTTTATTTCCCTTGTTTAGTGACAAAGGACCATCAACAGAATCCAGAAAATTCAGAATACATGTTGTCGACTCAGGGAACTTCTGTGGTTAGATATGAGCAATTCCTCGAAATATTATTTCTTTAATTCCATTTACAAGTTGCTGAAGGATTCAACTCCAGTTCATCTTAGAGAAAAACTCATTCATAGACATAATGTCCAGAATATAGATTTATTAGCTAAAATGAAGAATGCCTTATCATACCACGTCTATGTTTGCAAGAATCTTCACAACTCGGTTATACTGTATAATTCATCACCAAGAGAATTCAAACAATCACCTTCGCCGTAAAAAAATTAAGAGCAATTTGTTGAATCATATACCCTACATGAGTGACAATGAATGGAAATGTAGATGTCAAGCTAGATTTACATTTTTATGTTTGGGATTAGTCTTATAGGATTGGAGTATTAGTCGAGCACAAGTTAAGAGTAAGAATAGCTTCCTAGCTAAACTAGCTATGTAATATTCTTTCGAGGAAATAAAGACGAATTATCATTATTATCATCATCATAATAATATGGAGGATACATACTCAGTAGTTTTCTTTTTCCCAAGAAATTCACTACTGCTCCTGATAGAGCGAATACTGCGAATGTGGAGAAGGCAGCAGCCATACAATACACGTAGACAAACTGCTTCCGATTCCAACCCTATTGAAGATATAAAATTAGTGTTGTTTGGGCGAGAATACAAAATATGTCTTTCAAGTTTATCAGCTGTCACATAAATGTGCTTTTTCCACCACTAGCTATAGAACCTACCATTATTTGCTCTAACTAACAGAGTAGTTTTTGTCATTTTATTTTATAATTAACCCGAATTCACTGTTCTGATACGATATTCACAGGAATGTACTCGAATCTACAGGGTGGTCCACGGTGGATGGCCTATTAGAAGTATCTGGAGAACGAAAAGACAGAACATTCTGAAAATTGGGATGCTTTGATAATTGAACATGCTTTATCCCACTAAAATATTTTCATCGATACAGTGTTGCCACTTCTATCAGAAACAACTGGCAACTTCGCTATTTTGAAAGGAGCACCCTGTATTCTATTGCATTATTAGATTCTTCCTGAAGAGCTGATTTCATCAATGTATCACACTTGGGGTCTAGCAGGAATGATTACAGAGATATAGGGTGTTCAAAATCGAGATTTTTCAATTTCAGGATTTTTTTGTATCGAAACTATTCATTATCGATCGAAACGACTTACATGTCCCCATCTCAACTTTTGATTTACCAACTACTGGAATTTAATTGGAACAAATACAGGGTGCTTCAAGATTCAGAATTCTGATCACCCTGTATCTGTTCCAATTAAATGTCAGTAGATAGTGAATCAAAAGTTAAGATAGGGACATGTGAGCCGTTTTGATCGATAATGAATAGTTCCGACACAAAAAAATCCTGAAATTGAAAAATCTCGATTTTGAACACCCTATATCTCTGTAATCATTCCTGCTAGACCACAAGTGTGATGCATTGATGAAATCAGCTCTTGAGGAAGAATCTAAAAATGCAATAAAATACAGGATGCTCCATTTAAAATAACGAAGTTGCTAGTTGTTTCTGATAGAAGTGGCAACACTGTATTGATGAAAATATTTTAGACGGATAGAAAATGTTCAATTATCGAAGCATCCCAATTTTCAGAATGTTCTGTCTTTTCGTTCTTCAGATACTTCTAATAGGCCATCCACTGTGGATCACCCTGTATAGTAGATATTTTTCAATAACGACTTTTCATATGCTGTCATGGTGACTAGATTTTAATTGGAATTGAAAAGAAGTGCTTTCAGTCAGTGACATAGGTCCACATTTCAGTTTCAATAGTTCCACAGAACTATAATGATTGAAATATATTGCTAGTGGTGAAAAAAATTTAATATACACCTTGGTAGTATAGAATATTAATAATATTATTACCACGGGACCTGAAGCTTCGGGATATAATCTAGGTCCCTGGGTAATAATGATATCTTTACTACCTAGATGTTTGAATTACTATTAATCGTGGGTTGTTTATACCTGTGGATGTCAAGGTACCAGAAGAAGAAATCATATTAACTGAAGTGGATTCATCATGCAAGTTTACCAATTTAGCTTTCTGGCATATTCCTGATTTTATTCAAATCTCAAATGAAAATATATTATAAATAAAGAGCATTAGTAGTTTATAAAGCAAGTATCATATTGTTACGATATTCGGGTGCAGAAGCGAACACGATACTATTTATTTTCGAACTGATTTATTTGAATTATGGAAACACTAATTTATATCGAACTCATAAATACTATTCATGTAAAACGATTTATATCACGCGGTATATAACTGTCTCTCTGACACTCCCTGCTCGACTGACTGACGGCAGTTGTCCGGCCGTCTATTTATGAGATCCCTTGGTAGGCTTTGGTTCGAGAATGTTCTCGAATGATCTTCTGTCTTCTTCTTTTTGTTCTTGAAGCTTCTTAGAACAACACCTCTCTCTCTAATTGTTCCAACGATTGTTTCCAGAACATTCCAGAACAATCTTCTGTCACGTTATTTGTCACCGCGGTATATATTGAGTGTTCGGAAATATGCTGGTGCATGTAGGAATCATTGGGAGGTTGAAGAACAATCTGGGATGCGTGTTACAGGATGATTGTTGTACTCCTGCCTTTCTGCTGATGTTTCTAGAGCCCCTCTAAGGGGAATCTCATTACAATATTATCAGTTGAGTGAGTGCATTGTGCTTTCATCATGGACTGACTGCTGCAATGTGTGAATATTCCTTTTATTTTATGTGCCAGAAGTGAGCAACTAAACTATTATCACAGGATTTTCTAGAGTTAGGACTTCGTGTCTTTCATGAATTCACTATTGAAAGTCAAAAATATGAAACGCCGTCAGAATGTGAAATCAAATGAATGTGTCATGATTCCTGTGAATTTGGTTTGAAACTTCCAGAATTTAGCAACATTCTCCCACGCCTTGCAATTTTTACACAGTAGGCGATATCAAGATATTCCGAAACTCCTATCAATAGGAAGTGATACCACCATTTGACTTTCCATACATCTATGTCTGAATTGAGATGTATCTGAATCATCAAGGCCATCGATCAAGTCAGTCAAGGTGTGCATTAACCTTTTTTTCATTAATATGTTGCATCCATTAAATGTCGATAAAGTTCATTTTTATTTAAGGAAATACCTTTATGCACCACCTATTTTTAATATCAAACTTTTCTTCTTGATCAAAACATAGTCATCAGCGTACTTAGCCCGATAAAGATATGTGTGCTATAACATTCAGTGATCACATAATTACAATGAGAATGATTCATTCATATTGTTTTTAGAGTCTAATTTGAACATAAGACTATAATTTTCAGAACTCTCGACCACATTTTGGAAAAAAAAAGAGGTAGAAATTGTTTGTCTGACTGTGCAAGTCACAGTTTTATTTGAATTTGTCGTTAAGAGATAAAAGTTGGCCATATTCTAGCAAATAGTTTATGAAAGATGAAATTCAATTTAGGTGCTCAAATGAATGAACGGGAATACCAAGTTTTAACTTATTATAGTGAAATCGTTAATGATTGTGAAATTAATGAAAAAGCGGTCGTGTGCCTAAATCCGCCTTCAGACTCACCTCCTCACACAGTTTATCAGCGTTGGATCCTTTCTGAAGTTCATCGAGTGCAGAACAAATACTAGCAGATCCTCCATGGGTCTCTTGATAATAGTACAGTTTCTCGAAAATTTGAGGAAGCCATAGTTCTACGGAATCAGAACTGAAAAGATCTTAATACAAGATGACAATAACTCACTTGTAATTATTTATTTATTCATTTATTAATTTATTAACGGACAAGCCAATTATACAATTTACAGAAAGGAAGCATGAAAATACAGAGTGCAAGTACATATTATCATATCTATGAAGAAGACTAACACAAAAAAAATGTAGAAGGCTAAAACGAATAAAAAGATGAAGATTATGAAAAAAGTGATTAACAGTTTTTTATCGCTCTCCTGAGAGACAATAAAGATTAATTGAATAGTTCAATTTGGTAATTGTGTGTATTTGCTGTTTTCATAATTCTATTCATGGATTCATTTCGGCCATAATTTGTCCTACAGAATGGTATCTTGAAGAGTCCATGTCACTATTTCTGTTTCTTCTAGTATTTGCGGAAAGCGTAATCAAAGCAACAATTTCAGGAGAATCAATGTAACCATTGATAATTTTATGGAGGAATAATAGATCAATTTGCATTATTCTATGTATAACGTATTCATGTTTGAAATATCTAATATTTGTGGATAGGTATATTTATCCCTATTGAATCCCATGTGATATGCACAACTTCTTAAAAATTTAGTGTTTGTTTTACACAAAAGAGGGGTTGGATTTTATACGGTGTTTTACAATTTGGTCCACCCCCCACCCCTGTACTCCCGTATTCATAAAGCGATTTGATTTTTTTCTCATATACTACCCAACATTGTCTACTTTGTCACACAAATTCTTGGCCTACTACGATCACAAAAACTAGCGAAATTAATGAAAACAGATTTAGCATTTTAAAAAAAAAATATTGATGATGGCAATCGATTTGGACTATTCACGAATACTCCTATATCAATTTTCATAACAATATCTCGTTTTTATCAACGTTATAATTTTTCGATAATTGCATTTTTCAAGTCACCGTCTATAATGATTCTTATGAAATTTTGAATGATACCAGGCAAGATGGTAGTCAAGATTAGATCATCTGTCTATAGAGTGAGATAAATAACGAATAAAATCAAAATTTACAAATTTAAATTTTCTAACAAGAAATGAAAAGAAGAAGGAAAAACTAAATGATACCAAACAAAATATCACATAAATGAATTATAAAAATGAACTAAAACAGCCATCAATCCTAACAAGTTGAGATTTTTGTATTCTCGATCCAATCTCTTTCATTCTCCGTCCACTTTTCATATTTCTTTCGCACGTTATTTTCAAAAAAAATTTAAAACATTGTAGTTCATCGAATGGCACCTGTGCCAATCATCATCCTGAGTAAAATGATTCAAAATAACACTTTCCTGTGCGGAAATTTGCAGTCAATTTCGCGATTTGATAACGAGATGAAAATTATGCCATCTGATACCAATTGAATGGTAGATCTCAAACACAAGTAATATACTCAACATACGTTTACCAATTCCAGTGTCTTCAAAGGTTAAAAGTTCATTCAGTTATGATGGTAATGAAATATTTAATCATCTATACCAAATGAGATGAAATGCATTGAAATTAAGACAAATTTTTGAAAAATTGTGAAAGAGCTTTCGTTATCAAAAGCATATCACTCTTTGGACGAATTCTACGCAGTTAGAAATGTCAACAATGTTTCTGTTCAACTTGAAAAAATCTGTTTTTATACTTACAATGTGACTGTGCATCTCTTATATTTATAATTTTTACTTGATATTATTCATTCTTCTTGTTTTTATCCTTTATTTTATCTCACGTAATTTCACAAAGTGACTGTGTATATTTTATATCTTCTCACTTAGCGTATATGTACAGTCAATAAAGTATATTATTATAATTCGACTTCAATATGACTAGACAACTGACAATGAATATTCAGTCTATTTTTGGGCATTTTTCTAGGAAAAATATATCTACAACTAAAATTTTTCAAAAATTGTTCTTATCCATCATCTGAATGCCCCTTTACGAATGAATGAGGAATGAAAAGCTATCTTACAAATCGAATTATTGGCAAACTCAATATTCATCTCAGTGTAATATTTAAAATGAACTCACCTCATCAATATTAAATATTGGATAATCACAATCAGCACGATATTCTTCAAATTCTTCGAATGGAACATGAGTTCTATTTGACGCCAGCATTCTTCTGCTGCGTTGGTAGGTGATATTCCTAATTTCAAGTGATCTACTGCCAGTTCTCGGTGGGAATTAAGTTCCTTCTCTGAACTCAAAAATTTCACCTGTTAACAAAATAAGTATCCATCAGATTCGGGACATACTGTATATTCGATTAACCTCGGCCTAATTTTTCCTTTCGGTTCATCAATACCGACCGACAGTCCAAGAAGAACTTACTGGGTAGGTGAATTTTGGATTGCCAGTATTGATTCTATAGATGGACCTGAATACTTCCAAGGCTTCATCGTTTTTGTTGATGCTCATCAAGAATCTGGGACTCTCAGGTAGAAACATAAACCCAATGGCACCAACGAATGATGGAACAGCACAAATCAAGAGGAAAATGTTCCACGGTTTGATGACTGAAAAATGTGGATTCGTTTCAACACAAATTGAAGTTGTCTGAGATATAAGCTGACTCACCTAAGTGGTCAGAAATTTTGAAATTTATTTCGCTTGGAAGAACAGTCATTGCTATTATGGGTAAGAGTAGGTCGCCTAGTCCTGCTATATTGCCCAAAAATAACTGGACAATTGACCTATATCTCGCTCCATGTAACTCAGTTAGGTATGAGGTCAAACAAGCATGAACACCACTTATACTGAAATAAATATCAAACTAGAAAGCAGTAAGTTTTTGCAAATACTCAATATTCATCCTACTTATTGATTTTAGGCACTAGCGGGCCATAAAGTGCACTTAACTGCCTGGCTCTGCGGGTGTTAAGTTACACTTTACCGACCGCGGGTTCATTATGGCCCACGAGCCGTAAAGTGCACTTTACCGCCCGCTGTTCTTAGTTTCCTTATATCCTCATATCAATTCATGAAAAACCTATAATCATTTTCCTGGATTACAATATAACCAGCGGTATAATAAACTTCTTCTTTATCCGATTCCATGCATAGTCTCGTTATTATTATTATCACTAATTTTCACTTTTCAGTCAAAGAATCACAATTCAGCTTGTTGATTGGATGTATTATTGTTATAGACTACAACCATCAGCTTGCTTGACAACGTCAAAATTAGGTCGGTATTAAATATACTGGGTATGCATATTGTAAAATTCTAGAGAATGAATCTCTGCTAGAGATCAAAGAGTTTTACTATTACGTTAATTGCAATATTCGTGCGATGATTTTTATATGTGAATCATCCATGAACATCACGCTTCTCTTGATTACTGAATTTATACGTAACAAATCAAATTAGGGGGAATATTAGTTTATAGAAATCTATAGTCATTATATACTTCTGAGTCAGAGAATAAACAACTACTTAGTGCATAAAATTCTGTATTTATCACGTGCGTGAAATGCGTTTATGGCCTTCAGCGTGTAATGGCCCTCGGCTAGCGCCATCGGGCCATAATTCACGCCACAGGCCATAAACGCCTACTTTACGCCCTTTATACATAAAAAACTATTATGGAAATTCGATTGAATGAACTATGAATAAGAGTACACAAAGTCTGTCCAGAATACAATCGAATATGTAGTAGTATACTGTATAAAGCCCATTGGATTCATGAAACTTCAATAAATAACTATATAGAACTCACATTAGTCTGCTCAGTTTACAATAAAATATCGAAAGACTATATTTATACAATATCTTTCATAGCCTCGCAAATGCAAAATTCACTTGTCAAACAAAGTGCCACTTTTGGTCCTAATAATAGAATCTACTATCACATAATATTTATTTATCCAAGTTTCCACTTCTCAACAGGTCAGAAACCCAATGATAGAGTAGCACAGATTACAAAAATGAGTGTTTTGATCTACTTGTTCAACACTTACATCATACCTCCGAGAAATTTAGCCATCATCAGTGGTATTAGTGCTTGCGATAAAGCTGCAACCATGCAAAAAAAAGAGTCGAGGAAGCAAACGATGATTATCAATTTTTTCCTGCCCATCGTATCAGCTACATAGCCCCAAATGAATCCAGTGGCCACCATACCTATAAAGAACATTTCAATAAACGTCATTCAATATGCTATTGACAAACAATAGCTATTTATATATCGAGGAAGAAAAGGTATATATTTCCTCCTGCGTGCGTGAAGTTTGATGAACGACGCGAAGTGGATATTTTCATAGGAGGTGGTCAAGATCCTTTCTGGACACCATAGAGCACCATTTCCTTCATGGTAGTGTGGGAATCCCTACATGTAGGTGTACCCACTAAACACCTCCTTTCAAGGCTTGTCTTACCGAAGTCTCCGATGATACTAAGGCCTGTTGGCCAATTTTATCATTGTCGAATATACTGTAATTGATTTCACCATATACGACCCATGTTTCTTATATAAGAGCCACTTCAAATGCCGTCACAGTAACTATATGAGCACTGCCCCTCACAGTACCAGAGGTTCGTTTGAAATAGCCTTTTAATTCAGGTACTTGAAGATTACTCTCCATGGTCTCGTCCATGAGGAAGGTCAAGTTGTCCTTCTCCTTCGAGTAATGGAGGAAGGGGCTGGTCCAGCCCTGTGGTGAAACAATTGTTGATATTTCAGAAGCGCATGGTCCATGAAAATATGTATAAAATAGAGCCAGCTCGCTAACTTTTCTACAGTGTTCATTCATCATCACTCACGAGACGAATTCCAGGACAGGTCGGATCTGTGCCTTATCCTGCTGACTGGAAGTGAAATAGCTCCTGGCCCGAAACAGAAAATCAAGTTTCTGGGATGCACTTTTTGCAATTGATCTCACGTGATTTTCCCAAGAAATGTTATTGCTGATAGTAATACCAAGCATCGAAATGGATGTCTTCAAAGGTATGGTTACTCCTGACAAGCTTATGTTGGGCACAGTGAGATAGGCTTTCCTAAAGAAAAGGCATGCTTGTGTTCTGTTTGCATTGTAATCTACCAAGTTATTGGATCCCCTTTCGAGAATTGTTGCCAAGTCCATATTTATGTTGTCAACATTTCTTCCTCGTTCGTTTCTGATTTGCCTGGCTGATATTGGAGCCCAGGAAGAGAAGGTAGTATGGAGGGTACTATCATCCGCGAAGCTGTGTACTGGGCATGAAATTGCTTCCAACGAATCGTTGATATGGAGTAGAATTAGTGTTGGTGCTAGAATTGATCCTTGCATAACACCAGCATTTATGATAAGAGAATCAGATAAAACTCTGTCGACCACTATAGGGAGAGACCTGTTTGAAAGAAAACTAGCTATCAGAGGACATAGCTGGGGAGGCAAGCCATAAGATGGAGTGGGAGTAAATTGAAAACTTTATTTCCTCAAATGAGGGAGCAAACGCCAACTTTCGAATCAGTGAGTAGATAACGAAACATCTTGCTGTTAATTATGATTGGGTGCTCTTTCTTTCAGTTTCTGGATAGACAAGAGACCTTGCCTTGTCTTCTTCACATCAATATAGGCCCTTCTAACCAATATATTATGAGTAATGTTTGACTCACCTCCAAGGCTAACAGCAGTGAGCATTCCTTTTTCTTCTAGGCTGAGGTTCAAATCACATTCTGCTGCTGGTAAGATATATGACATTGATCTCAATTCAAATACAGTAGCCAATCCAGTGAAAGTTGCTATTAGAGCCAAAAACAAATTGAACTTTCCAAAACCTGCCACCGATATGGCTGTCTCAAAATCGCCACATTCTGAAACTGTTAGTTAGCTCATACACATTGATCTGCGGAAAATAATTATTCATATTTCCAGCAGATAGACAATGCGAATTCTCAATGTATTTGTATATATGTTGTCGATGAATCATCAAAGCACTGAAAAATATCAGACGAAAGAATTTGATCCATACATTGATGATGTAGGTATTATATTATGAATATCTACTCACCTAAGTTTTCTTCAGAATTGGAATTGGAAGATGATCTACTACCCATTGGGGTGCTGGGTGTAATATTGATCGTCACACTATTCATTTTCCACTATATTTAATACAATTTCGAATCAGCATAGCTCAAAAATCACTCTCTTCAAAACTGGAATAACAATTATTCTTACTAAACATGTGTGTATATTACAAGTACGATGTAGGAACACTTAGTTGACGTGTTCGTCGTTATCTCTATCGCTAGTGAAAAGTCATTATTTATATTTCAGTAACGTTATTCTCAAATTGGGACCATAACAAATACCTTTATTTCACTGGAAGAAATCCAAATCGTGAATAAAATTAATGAATTTGAATTTAATTCCACCGAATTATTCATAAATTTATCATAATAGTGACCCGGAACCAATTTATCTCCATGTCGTTGGTATTTTGTTTGGATGTTCCGAATTTGCTACATCGATTTGATTCCATGAGTGTATATAATTTCGCTAGTATCAGACCAAAGTTGACACTTCCGGTTTGACCGGAAGTGCATCAATTTTTTCTTATTCCAAGCTCAAAGCATTTTTTCAAATAACGATTCAGTATGAAATAACCTTTTCAACGATATATCAGAATCATACTTTCAATCTGAAATCATACTCATATATTCGAGATTTTATGAATCATTACTCAAGTAGGTATAGCATGGAGATTATCTTCATTAAAACTAAATGGGAATGGAGCCCTATATTTTCAATGAAAACCCGTTTATTCTCAACTCCTTTTTACCAATATAACAACGATATTATGGTGATAGACATCGACATCTAATTTAAAATACTGTTTCATCTCCATCTAAGTTAACTATTGGTTTTTATAATATGTTTATTTTCACATGCCTTTGCTTGTAGTAACTAAATGCGGCTGAAGATGGACTTTCAAAATTTATAAACATTTCCCCTTGATTGATTCACATCAGTAATGAAGAAGTAGAGATGACTTTCAGCTTTGCTTCTTCCATTTGAAAAATTCCACTCCACTTTGAGCAAACATGGACTTCTACCAGAGATCATTACTTAACATCTAGCTACTCAGGTATTTGATTCATATGCAACATTTGCTCCTCAAGGTATCACGACTCGTGAGTCTTCAATCTTTTTATCGGCCTCTTTTGCCCAACTGAACTCGAAATCTGTGAAACCTTCTACTGGTTTGCATCAATCAGCAGGACATCCATCAATTCTGCTTCTTCCTTCTGACCCAAATTGGTTGATGAACGAGGCTCTGGCAACCAAATCCAAGTTGAGGAAATCCGTGACGAGAGATGAGTCAGCGATGCCAACTTTTCAAATACGCATTCCCCGACACAGACCTATAAAAATTCCCTACATTGAGGAAAAATCCCTACAAATATCATTTAAAATCAAATGAATCTTCATTTTACTTGACGTTTTGGGATTTGCTCTCCTCTTTTCTATAAAATAAAAATATTCGTATTATTTCAATATACTTGTATGGGGACAAATCAGATGATTTGCCCCAAAATGTCACTGCGTTTAAAAAAATGTTCTATCAGGGAGTCTGATGAAGCCTACAATTTTCCTGACGGTTGAATTTTCTACCTCAGCAGGGGTGAGATAGACCTGTTTTAGGTGGTTCAGCCTTTGGCGGACTAATACTTCACATGAGCAAAGTATGTGTTTCGCGGTTTCGGTCGCATTGTTACAAAAGCGGCAAGGGTCAGTCTCCGCCAGGCCCATCTTTTTGAGGTGGTACCTCAGAGGGTCGTGTCCTATGAAAAAGCCTGTGATCAGCTTTAGCTCTGGTTTGCTGAGGCTGAGTAGCTCTTTGGCTCGGTTCTGCGAATGGTTGATGAACCTTTTCGCTTGTCGTTGACCTGGAGTTGCTCTCCAGTAGGAGGACTTTTCAATTTTTTCCCATTTCCTGAGTTCTTCCTTCAGGTGACATTTGCTCATCCCACAAAAAGGCTCAGGACCAAAAAGTGCAGATGCTGCACCTTTTTTTGCAAGGCGGTCAGCTGCCTCATTTCCTTTGATTCCTTCATGCCCTGGAACCCACATAGGTGTGACTTTGTTGTCCTTTCCCAGTTGCATGAGTGTTTCAAAGTAGTCCCGTGTGATCTCTGAAGTGAAAACGAATGATTTTAGGTCTCTCATGGTAAAATCATGTACGATTCATCGCAGAAGCTGCTCGCAGAAACTCGGATTCTTGTTCCGTGCAAGAAACTACTCCATACCTCAACAGCTCATCAAGATCTACGAAGAACATATACGGCCAGTTTCAGAATACTGTTTCCATGTATGGGTTTCAGCACCCAAAAATACGCTGATGCTCATAGATTTCATACAAGGAATAGCTATTCGCCTGGTGGGTGACTCCACACTAACCCCATTAGAATACTGTAGAAATAGAAAAGTCGGTACCCTTTCACTTTTCTATAGATACTCCCACGGAAAATGTCCCTCAGGAATCTCTGCTATAATTCCATCACTAGCAATACCAGTCAAATCAACTCGACATGCCCAAACAGCACATCCCATCGTCGTTAACCTTGAATAATGTCGAACAATACTCTACCAAAATTCTTTCGTCTATGAAACGGCAAAGCTTTGGAATTCATTGCCAATACCAGTATGTCCAAGAACCATCCAGAAGTTCAAAAAAATACTCACCTTCCCTTCCTATCCCTCCTAGGTACACATGATGTTCTACGTGCGCTCTAAGAGATAGAAAAATTGGTATTTTTCACCAGAAATTATTTTAATTATCATATTTTTGTGAAACTGAGATATAGACTTATTGTCATAAGTGATATCACGATGTTCTAAATATTCAAGATAATTTGAATGATTGCGCATGTATATCCCAAATGGTAAGCATCTCATTCGGGGCACACCATAAAAACATACGAAACTCATATTCTATGAAATGCAACGATTATAAAGACATAGACGAAAGCTTCCAACAGGTTCGTTAGCAATAAACATATATCACTCGAAGAACATCAAACCTGAACGATTCATTCACAACTTTATTTTACCTGTATAAATCTGACACATTAAGATATCAAACGAGTTCCCACAGTAAACTATCTACACGAACTTATCAGCGAGGTATATAGGTACAAGAAGAGCCCGAGCTAGGTCCCATGTCACACGTCACAAGCCTCTAAAGTATATCATTGTTTCGCAATCAACCAGAAAATTACCGGTGGTTTTAACAAAACGCACGGGACTGTAATAAATCTCTTCGGAATGAGCTTTGCCTGCCCATAGTGTCACTTTCTCGGGCAAGCTAGGAAATATTTTGAATTTTAAGGATGAGATGATGAATCCCTCTTTGTTATATCCTTTCAACAAACATATTTTCAAATACACTCAGTTCCAAAAAAGTGACGCACTTGATATTTGACCTATCAACTTAGAAATAAAAAATAGTAGGCCGAATTTTATTTTTTGTGTGTTAATTGAGTAATGGTTCACGAAAGAGACTTCTTTTGCGAGCATTATGTTTTTTTATTCATTGATTCATCTTTAAAATTTTCAAAATTACAGATTTTTTGCTGATACCTTACACTTATCCCACAAATTAAATTTATTGAAGGATCAGAGTACTCAAAATTGATTGGGTTAACTCTGGTAGGATCACATTGTCTTTGAAGAAACAAATGCCGTTGCCATAGCAACTAATTTGTTGTATGACTCCATATTTGACCATTTGTCGTTGTGTCATTAATTAAGTGTCTTGTTTTATTGACTAAAATTTCATAAAATGCATCAAATAAATCCTGAACGAGTAGCAAGATTAGTTGCGTCAGTAAACAATGGGCGTAGTAAACGTTACGCCGCTCGTGCAGTGGGAGTTTATGAAGCAACTGCTCGTAGAGCAATCCGCAAGTACGAACAAACAGAAAGCATCGCTCGGAGGGTCGGTTCTGGTCGCCCCCGAAAAACTTCTCCAAGAGATGATCGCTTCTTGAGATTGCGGATTTTGAGGAATCGATCAAATACTGCGGTAAATGTTCAGCAAGATCTTCGCCGAATTCGTGATGTTGCAGTAAGTAAGCAGACGGTATGAAGACGTCTAAAAGAAGTTAATTTAAATGCTAGGAGACCTGCGAAAGGTCCTAAATTATTGCCCGTATATCGTACTGCTAGAAGAAATTTTGTTGAAAATTATGGACAGTGGAATATTCCTGAATGGTCGAATGTCTTGTTTACGGATGAGTAAAGGTTTTGCCTTAACATGGTGGATGGAAGAAAAAGAGTGTGGAGAAGAACTGGTGAACGGTTTAATCAGAATTTGATAACAGAATGCGAAAGTTTCAATGATGGGTTCGTTATGGTGTGGGGAGGGATTTCAATGAATGAAAAGACACCCCTTCATGTTTTTCCGATGAGGCAGTCGATGATGGCCCAAATTTACATTGACATTTTAGAGCAGTATGTCTTACCTTATGCAGAGTTAGTGGGCAATAATTTTATATTGATGCAGGATATTGCCCGACCACACACCGCAGCAATAGTGCGAAACTTCTCTTAGATGCTACTTTTATTACCACATTACAATGGCCTGCGAGGAGCCCCGATATGAATCCTATAGAACATTTGTGGGATGAATTAGGGGGAAGGGTTAGTTCTCGCGAGAGGTCTCCGGAAAGTCTCGCAGAAATGGCAGATGCATTAGTGGAAGAATGGGATCGTATACCAATGGAAACGATAAGCAACTTAATTTCCAGTATGTCTCGTAGATTAGAAGTTCTTAGAGTTGCTAGAGGAGGCAATACACGGTATTAAGCAGTCATCCCAATTTATGATTTTATGTTCAATAAAAATGTTTTTCAAAATTATTTGTATCAGTTTATTTCATCAGATTGTTTCTCGATAAATTCAGACAGTTGGTAATCTACAAGGATTCAGCAAAAAAAGCTGTAATTCGGAAAAATTTAGAGATAAATCAATAAATAATTTTCCGAGTTTTTGTTGTGGGTTGTCATTGTTATCAATTTGGTGAAATTTTCTTGTTGCATTTTGACCACTCATTACAACGTCTCATAAATATCATCATTTGACAGTGTCCCAG